GATCAAGAGGGCCCCGTGCAAATGACCCCACCCCAGTTCCAGACTTCCGTCCCGTGGGTTTGTGAGATGGACACAACACCCAGGAGTTCCTGCGCAGGAAACCGCCGCCATGGCAGTCCCAGGCAGGCACCAGAAGGCGGGACATTTTAGGACAATTATTTTCATAAAAAATGGGTGAAATTTCCTGAACTGTGGCATCAGGTAAAGAGAGCAAGTACAGTCAGTGGGGAGGGAGGGCAGATAACACCTATGGATTGGTTGTTTTTTCTTCCAGTGGATATGGCTTTGAGCTTGGAGAGTTACTTCCCCAAAGCTGGGCCTGACAAGGCACTGCCTATGCCCTCCACTCTCCACCCATCCCCTTGTTATGAGCAGCCCAATCCTGCTTTAGCCAGTGGGAGCTGCCATCAGCTCAGGGAGCCCTGGCCAGCCATCAGGGCTTTCGCTGCACCCAGCAGGTATGCATTTCCCCTCCTGGCTGCTCTCCTTGTCTGTGAACTAGGAGTAAGAACACTGTGCCTGCTCCATGTGCTCAGTACTCACAGTGCTGCGTGGATATCAGGATGGCCTGGGGGCGGTGGTCAGCCAATGGGAGTCTCTGGTTCGCCCTAACTGCAACCTCCTGGTTTGTGCCAAGATGCAGAGTCTCCCTGGTGGTGCAGGGGTTAAAGTCTCAGTGCTATCAAGCTGTCATTAGCCACTGTGGCATCCTGGAAGTGGACCCCTGTGACAGGGCAGACCTCTCCTGTCTTGACCAGACCTCTCCTGACCCGCCCGCTGTTCCCCTCAGCAGTTGTATTTCAGTCAGTCGGCCTGTTCTGCTCCTCACTCTGTCTCTGGTGAATCTTCACCCCCCACACACCTCTGGCCAACACCTTAGTAATTGTATGCATAAATAATTTTTTTTTTTTTAAGTTGTGATGCCAGCAGAGCCCATGCATGCTGGGGAAGGGGAGACTTTGAATGATCTTTTTATTAAAAAAAAAAAAAAAAGGAAGCCAAATGCAGATGTCATTTGTATTATAAGCAAAATGTGGGGGTTATGGGCTATAAGGTAATGGAGAAGATACATTTCACGGGGTGCTTATATGTCCTCAAAGAAAGAAAAAGGTAAGAGCAGACAAGAGCCTTCTTACCACGGACAATAGGAATGCTGTGGAAAAGGATTTGGCAACGTCCTTTTGCAACACCCTGGCAATTACCTATGCATTTATCCTTTGACTCAACAATCCCAAAAACACACTGACAAAAATATGAAAAGGCACGCACAAAGCTATTCATTGGGCACAGGGAACAGACAAAGTTCAATAAATGTTTATTTTCCACAAACCATAAAAGCTGCCAAAAATGTTCAAAGCCTGAACCGTCTTCTCTCTGGGGAAAAAGCAAATGAATTTGCTTTCTGAATTGCCTTAATGTGGCTTCTGGGACAGTAATTATGATTCACCACCATGTGCTAATGGAACGCTAGGCCTGCCCTCCAGCTCCTGTCAAAATAGCCTCCCAGTGTGTCTTTGGGAAGGGCCCGATGTGGGCAGGAGGGCCTTGCCAGCCCTGGCCACTGCCCACATTCTGCCTTTCCAGGTGGAGCCCCTGCCCTGCCACTCAGCCACAGGCTAGACCTCCAGATGCGGCTGCCCGCCAGCCCACCCCAACACCACCTCAGCTCTTCTTGTCCTCGACACAATGTAGATTTGAAATCTCCCCAAAATGATCAATGGGTCTTGTTTCTGAACAAAAAGCAAGAGTGTGAAAGGCACGTCTTTCTCCACCAGGGCCGCAGGGAGGAGCTAGACTCTGGTGCTGGGCCTGATGTACTTCGCCTCGAGCCCTTCCACGCTCTCGCAGGGTCCCTGCAGGAACCCAGGTCAGGCTCTGGGCCTGGCCTTGAGCTGGTCCTCACCTTCCCTAGCTGCCAGCGCCCCCCCCAGGCCCTGCTCCAGGCTGCCCTCCCCGGGCGCCATCCCACCATCTAAGGCTCCCGTCCCCTCAGTCAGCGGCAGACCCCCTCCTGCCCCCTGACCCGCAGGGGCAGCCTGTGGGTCCCTCTCACCCTGTGCCCTGGCATGTCTGCCCTCTGGACAGTGAGCAGGTCGAGGGGCCAAACAGGAGGCTCTCTGCAGCCTGCTCTCAAAG